TTCTTGTGTGACTGTGTGGGCACCTCTGCTGTTGGTAAACAGACATTGATCTCAGCAAATGCAGACTTTATTCCAGAGAGGGTTACGTTGGTTTCAACAAATCTTTTGTCCACAGTAGAGGTCAGTATGGCGACAGCCACTGAGACATCCTCATTTGTAGTTTTTGTTGGTATTTTTGGTCTCTCTTGTTTACCATGCCAGTAAATCTGAATGAATTAAAGTCTTCTTTGGAGTTCATGGTTATATAGTGATACGCTGGTTTTATACATCCAAGAACTTTTATTAAAATGAACTGCTTGGCAACTAGACCAGGTGTTTAATCGAGACAGGCGTTTATTTGTTTAAATGTGTCACAACATTGGCCTAGTAAAAGGAACTGGGCATTTAATTGGGACTAGGCTTTTGGTTAAAGTTTTATGGTAGTTTTGTTTTTCCACCTCCAATAAAGAGCAGTGCATGACCACTGCCTTGAACTTTGTCTTAGAGAGAGTCCCAGACAAGGCTCTGGATCTTTTAGACAGTCTGAATAGGATACTAGAGCAATAAAGTAATATACAGCAGACTAGAAGGCAGGAGTTTTTTTCTCAAAATGTAACAACTTTATTCTTGACATTTGGAGAACATAGATCTGTGAATGCAGGAAGTTCTGCACATGAGCAAAAATCTTGTTTAAATATATTAATATAGGCTTAAGTCCCAGGGGTTTATAAATAAATTAAAATGCATCAACGTATGATTTGATGTGAAACAGGTGCCACATGTGCGGTAAAAGAGGTTACGTCCCCAAACAAAAGACACAAGTGAGGACTGAGGAGTTCATCATGTCTACATATGTGCTGACTCAGCAGAGATAGCATTAAGTCAGAATGCACATTTGAAAGCAATACAGAATGTCTGAGAGCATTAAAGCACTGCTCCATTATACTTTGAATTGTCACTTGGTGCTGAATTTTGTGTTTCCTTTACATCAAAAAGACATTTCTAGCATACATTTTTGAATTAAAAAAAATCATCAGAATGCAGGAAATTAAGTGTTTGACACTCAAAATTTCCTTGTAAAGGACCCCCAGACCCCCCACTTCTTAAAGGGGATTTATTGTTGTGTGTAGACCATATGCACGTAGCCTACGCACGTCGCCTGTGCCGTTGTGAGCATTTTTACTTATGCGGTGGTGTGTCTGTGTCACTCTGCCACCAACCAGTGTTTTGGAGGTGTAACTGCAGAGGTTTCTGTGAAGTGCTGTTAAGTTTAGTTGATTCAAAACACACCCAAAACACACATTAAACATGGCTTAATAGAGAAAATTTGAAAAACAAGTACACAAATTGGCTTCACTACAACTCGCAGCATTCACAAACACTTGTGTTAATCCGGACACATTTTCCCCACAAATACAATATGCTAACATTATTAACACAAGCCTATGGCATTTTACATTGTATAAATTAGCCTAGCAACTAGCGATCTTTTCCTCTTCTCATATAAAACCAGGGACAACATCAACATTTAACAAAGGTAACGGCACATAATTCGGCTCCGTTACAACTCACAAGGTTCACTGACAAAACAACTGTCCTGTACTAAACACGTTTTTTAAACAAATACAACATACTAACGTTATTAGCACAAGCCTATGGCATTTTACATTATATTGATTAGCCTAGCGGCCGGCGATCTTTCCGTCTTCTCATATGAAACCTGGATAAATCCCAAAGTATAAATCCCTGAAGGATAAGTCACAGACAAGACTTAAAATGCTATTTTAGTGGAGGCTTTACTGTCTTCACAATTTATTGTTTCATATTTGTAAACTAATAGTAAATACAAGCTCCATTTCCCCTGAGTGAAATGGTGTGAGTATACAGCGACAGACCGGAGGTCTGCGTCAGCGCGACACATAGTTACAATTCTGGGGAAGGTGCACATTAGGCTACGTCGCAGGTTACAGCGTAGGCTCCAAATTGACGTGGAGCCTACGCCGTAACCTACTTGTCGATTCAACGCAGAACTATAAATTACGTGTTATGTGTAGCATAGCCTACATATCATTCCGCTTCTCTTCCAGTAGTCTCAGACTTTCACCTTGGTGGGCTGCTTTCCTTATTTCTTTGGAACAATTCATAAGAATGCTTCTTAGTTGGCAGTGGGCAAATTTACCACTGTCTGATCGGCTGCTTTTTGTGATCAGTAATGAGACCTAATTTAAGTTTAAATGTCATATTTTTACTCCTCACATTTATTTAACACTCATAGAGTTTCTATTCACATGGCTTTTTTACTCTCTGAGAAACTAATGAAAATGATATTCCAACAGTCCAGTTGAGTCAAATCTGTTATTTGACAATCATTGACATGCTTCTTTAATGATATAATGCAGAATAATAAACATTAATGTTTTATTAGAAAGTTTTTCTCTGTCTCTCTGTCACACTGCTCTCTTTTTGTCTGCACTCTCTCAAGTCCTCATGCTCTCTGTCTCACTCAGTTACATGTTCTCTCTCACTTATCCACACATTCTGTCCCTCTCTCTTTTCCTCTCTCTGAAGTATAGTACATTTAAATATTATTAACAGGCTACACTGCTAAACTTTCAAAATTTAGAGCAAGCTCTAGTTGCCAGATCTGTTTTGTAATCAAGAGCTATAACCATATCACACATCCTCTCTGAATTTAGAAGGACACTCAAAGCTACCTCTAAAGCACCTCAGTGTTTGTTTTGTTTTTTTGCTGCAATACAGTCAGCATCACATGGAATCTAATAATAGACTAATACATTTGATAATAGGCAGTCAAAAACACACCAAGTCTTCTTTACCACACATGTAGCCTGTCTATAGGTAAAATGGGGAAACACGATAGTTTGCCCTCACAGCAACCTTCTTGTTCCACAGGAAACACTTTATCATCGTATTTTGGTTTCATTTCAAGGATTATCCAGCAGATGAAAATATCAACATCCTCAATGTCCAGTGGGAAATTTGCCAAATAAATTAATAGCATATTAAAGAGCCTAATATTGTGTGACCTATAACTTATGTTGCCAAGACAATTTAAATATAAACTTATATTATGCAGACCAGATTTTCAGATACTAATTACCAACACATCTATTTATCCACTGAAGCCGTACAGAGTGCGTTCCTGCCTCTTCAGTGCATATGCCACATCCATAGTGGTCATGGTCTTCCTCTTATCGTGCTTGTTGTAGTTAGATGAGCATCACAGTCTTATATTTACTGTATGGACATGAGAGTGATAGCTGTCTCCTTATCTAACACTTGACAAGAAAGACACCAAATGTCTTTCCCAAATAGTCAAACTCATCATATAAGGCTATCCTACTGTATCATCAAAGTCGGCCTTATACTGATAAAGCTTCTCAAATGGATGAAAACAAAAAGTACAAATGAAATATACACTGCTCAAAAAAACAAAGGGAACAATTAAATCACACATCCCAGATCTCGATGAATGAAATATTCTAGATGAAAATCTTTATTGATTACAAAGTGTAATTCGTTAAGAACAAAATAATGTAAGAACAATCCATGGAAACCAAAATCATTGACTCATTAAGGACTGGATTCAGAATCATACCCAAAATCAAAGTGGAAAAATCAGATCACAGGCTGATCCAACTTTTGTGAGTTTCCTCAGGACAACTCATAATGTGGCTTAGTAGTGTGTATGACCTCCACTTGCCTGTATACATTCCCTACAACGTCTGGGCATGCTCCTGATGAGATGACGGATGGTCTCCTGGGGGATCTCCTCCCAGACCTGGATCAGGGCATCAGTCAGCTCCTGGACAGTCTGTGGTGCGATGTGGAGGTGGTGGATGCTGCCATACATGATGTCCCAAAGGTGCTCGATTGGAGTCAGGTCTGGGGAACAGGCGGGCCAGTCAATAGCATCAATGCCTTCGTCATCCAGGAACTGCTGACACACTCCAGCCACATGAGGCCAGGCATTGTCATGCATCAGAAGGAACCCAGGGCCCACTGCACCAGCATATGGTCTGACAATGGGTCTGAGGATCTCATCCTGGTACCTAACAGCAGTCAGGGTACCTCTGGCTAGCATCACTGACCCACCACCAAACCGGTCATGCTGGAGGATGTTGCAGGCAGCAGAATGTTCTCCATGGAGTCTCCAGACTCTGTCACGTCTGTCACATGTGCTCAGCGTGAACCTGCTCTCATCTGTGAAGAGTACAGGGCGCCAGTGGCGAATTTGCCAATTTTGGTGTTCTCTTGCAAATGTCAATCGGGCTGCACGGTGCCAGGGTGTGAGCACAGACCCCACTTGTGGACATTGGGCCCTCATGCCACCCTCATGGAGTCTGTTTCTGACAGTTTGGGCAGAAACATGCACACGAGTGGCCTGCTGGAGGTCATTTTGGTGGGCTCTGGCAGTGCTCCTCCTGTCCTTCCTTGTACAAAGAAGCAGATAGCGGTCCTGCTGCTGGGTTGTCGCCCTCCTACGGCCCCCTCCACCTCTCCTGGTGTACTGGCCTGTCTCCTGGTATCTCCTCCATGCTCTTGACACTGTGCTGGGAGATACAGCAAACCTGGAGTGGCTGCACTACCTGAGCAACTTCTGTGGGCTGCAGATACCACCTCATGATACCACTCGTGGTGAGGGCACTGGAAAAATGCAAAACTAGCCAAGAATCAACCAGAAAGAACGCAGAGAGGGAAATGGTCTGTGGCCACCACCTGCAAAACCATTCCTAAATAGGGGTTGTCTTGGTAATTGCCTCTCCTTTCCACCTGTTGTCGGTCCAATTTGCAAAACAGCAGGAGAAATTGATTCACAATCAGTATTGTTTCCTAACTGGACAGGTTGATATCCCAGGAGTTTAATTGACTTTGAGTTACACTGTGATGATTATGTGTTCCCTTTGTTTTTTTGAGCAGTGTAAATGCAAAACTAAAAATGTATTCTGTGATATGTATTTATTTGTCAAATAATACAGTCCCAATCTCCTTCTCAACAGACAAAGCTACGACATCAGTATTGTTGCCCAGGTGGACCAGACAGGATCAAAGTCCAGCAACCTCCTGGACTTGAAGAACCCTTTTTTCAGGTGAGTTGGTCTCATGACCCCAATACCACACCTGGATGTGGATGAGTGACAGGGAGCACTGTCTGTCTCTCCAATGTTAAACGCGTGTGTGTGTATGTATTTGCAGGTACACAGGCACCACCCCTAACCCCCCTCCTGGCTCACACTACACCTCCCCGTCCGAGAACATGTGGAACACGGGGACAGCCTACAGCATGAGTCAGGGGATGGCTGTATCAGGTGAACACACAGAAACACTGGTAGATAAAACCAATCCTGCGTGTGATACACATTTTCAGTAATATCATGAAGATGTTAGAGACACTGCAGAGTATTTAATTACAGGTTGGGATTATCAAAGTATTTTCCTGTTGGATCTCTGCACAGAGCAGTATGTTATACACTGGCAAATAACGACAATAGTCGACCAGAAAGGAAAGAACTCCAAAAACTTGGTCAATTTGCAGACCATAGAGATATGTAGACTCTCTAAGGTGTTAAGTGAAGCTGCATTGTGGTTTCCATGGACACAGTGAGTAAAGAATGCTGCACAGATGCTGTGAAACTAAGATTGTTTCACTTATTTAACTCATTTTCGGTTATTGTTACTATAAAGCAAGGAATCATATGTCTTTCGGAGGGGTAGCCAGAGGCATGCAGTGTTGAATTTGGTGCAAATTATCAAAAAATAAAATAAAATAAAATATCAATGAAAACAATTGATGAGCATAGTGGAAAGGGATGGATGAGCTAGTCAGTGGGCTACACAAGTGCACAACATAACCTAACCTAACATACCCAAGCAATAAGTCTGGCTGCACAGGTGCCAGAACTTACTACAACAAGAACAGATTGACTCTGATCACACAGAGAGGGAGCGTGAATTTGTTTTCTGCTCAGAACATCATGCCTCCACTATATCTTTACATAGACAGTAGTTATTTGCTGCTTTAATGATGTCTTTATGTTGCATATAGAACCTTAAAGCCAAGACATGATCTTCTCTTAACCATACCCAAATAGTTTTTCTGCCTAAATATAACCACAGTGTTGTTGAAACAAAGTTTTAGCATATCTGCTACGTAGTAACAGAAATATGTTATGTATCCGTGGTTTACAGAAACATACAATGCCAGCATTTATTCTGGTGATTTGGCTGAATAAGCGTCTTTGGAAATTAATACCCTGGTGTATTTCAGTGGTGTTTGAATCTGCAACATAACCAGTATCATGTAGTATACAATATTTTCCTTTGAATTAAGGAGTACACCATTGAGTTGCATATTTTTTAAGTGGTTTGGGGGCCTTTTGTATGTTATTTTGGGGTAAACTAAATAACAGAATAGCATCATACACTGGTCTGCCACAACATAAGAACAACTGACAGATGAAGTGAATAACATTGATCATCTCCTAACAATGCAATGTTCTGCTGGGAAACCTTAGGTCCTGACATTCCACCTGACATGCTTCACCAAACACTGATACAAAGCAAGCACACTTCTTGATGGCAGTGGTCCCCCCAGCAGAATAATGCACCGTGCTGCACCACAAAATAGAATGACTCAAGAATGACAAATGTGACAAATAGCTCAAGGTGTTTTGGGCTCAGGTGTGTTGCTCAGGACCCAAAGAACTGCGGTTCTCGAAAAAATTGTGAGCAGCAATAGCACAGACCAAGCAATCAGTCTGTTCCCAAAAGGCATGTTTTGAATGGGCACTGCTAGTTTTTATTAAAGAGCCAAAAATTATGGGGTGAACAGTAATATGATATTATTTATTTAATATGTTAAGAAAAAAAATAAGACGTCGTGTAGGTAGCACCAGTTAGTTTACTTCCTTTTGGGGCAGAGATGAACTTGTCTGGGTTTGCTGTTAACTGATCTCTATGAGCTACTGTACCTAGCTACTACTACTGGCAGTTATCTGGCAGCATGATAGCATACATAGTCATGCAATACCAAATTGCCACATCGGGACAAATATCACTATTTTTATGTGTTGTTTGGTAGGGGATTACACCGTAAGCTCCAAATTGTTCCAAATTACATATTCCCTTTAACTGCCCACATCCATTTATACTTTCTGTCACTCTTGTCTGTTGTTTTTATTTATTTTAATTATGACTTTAGTTGTGTTTTTAATGCTCTGTAAAGTGTCCTTGAGTGTTGAGAAAGGCGCTTTTAAATAAAATGTATTATTATTAAGCAAGTAAGTAGTGGGAGAGGCATCAATGGAAAACGTGGCCCTACTAAAGATTTGCTTTTACATTTACATGTGGTGACTTGTAAATGTCGTTATCTGTAAATGAATAGAAGAGCCTCACCTGCAGTAGAAGGTTGACAATGAATCGGAAAGCAAGGACGCCAGACCAGTACCCCATCACTGGCCAGTGCTCGCTCTCTGCTCCATAGCACTGTTCATTACGTGATTGCCAGCTATGACAGCGGGTCTGCTATTGTTTTCACCTTGTGTATGTATGTGTGTGTGTGTGTGTGTGTGTGTGTGTGTGTGTGTGTGTGTGTGTGTGTGTTTGTGTCATCGTAGCAGAATCTGGTCCAAAATGTGGTCCTAGAGACACCGACTGTAGCAGGAGCTATCATAGAAGCCATTTTGAGACCTTTAGCAGGTGTTTATATCTCTGTTTACGGATAGATTTTGTCACCACGATAAAATTACAACTGCAAGATGCAGTTACAAAACTTTACTGATGTGAAGTTAAGATCACAATGAAGACAGAGTCCAAAGATGGGTGTGATCCAAGCGGGGGCGCAGGAAGTTGGGATGGGGCCATTTGGAGATTTGGGAACCTCTTGGATGCGTAATTCTCAGCCAATCATAGACTTTAATCATTTTTAGCCCTGGCTGTACAGGCCCAAGCCCCTAAGTTTGGTGAACAAAGTACATTTTTGATGGCCCAAGTCACATGGCATCACAGGCCCTACGCTGAGAAGACCTTTATATAATGTGAATTTGAGAAAAAACAGTGTTGACTGGCTTGTTTTGTGTCTCTCCCTTTCAGGGATGCCTGCAGCTTATGACCTCAGCACAGTCATTGGCAGCGGCCCGTCAGTGTCTCACAACAACCTCATCCCCCTGGGTACGAATCACACTCCCCCTGACTTCTCAACATCTTCTGTTACTTAATATAGTAGAGAGCAGCAGAGACTAACTGTAGTCCAGCATGAAAACTGCGGAAGTTTGAACAGAAATATTGTTCATGTTTTGGTCTCTAGTGGGCACTACCACACTATGACATAGAGAAAAATGACTAAATATCTTGCCCACCACAAAGGGGAGGCAAGTGAGTTCTGCTAAATGACAGTGCTGTTACATGATGTGAGTGCTAGTAAAGGATTTCAAACTTTTACAAAGGAGATGAGCCAGAGTGTCAGATCAGTGAATGTAAAATGTGGAATACCTTTGTGTAACTGTTGTAGCATATACTTCCTCCCTTTGAACTGTTGATGACATTTCAACATCTTTTAATCTCTTGTCCTTACACTGCTTCCACCACTCACATGTCAATTGCTGGCTGCATTCATGTCTTTTTTCCTCCACTGACATTTTAACTCTTTTAAATGTTTACACTTGAAACACACTTGAACGTTATGGAGATACATTTGTTTCAGTATTATTTGTGTGAACAAATTGACAATCTGTGTGTTACTGTAATCTGTACATATTAAACACCGTACACAAATATATTTAAAAAAAAAAAAAAAAAAAGAGTGGTTAACTCACAAAAATATTATGCAGATATAAAACGCATCTGCAAATGCACAAATTCCATTAGTAAAACATATGTCTGTGAACACATTGAATGAATTTACCAATCACTTAAAAGCATTTCTGAATATCTCTCAAACATGTCTATCTTTCAAACAGGCATTTGTAATTCCACTTTCTTTTTGTGAATGGAAAAGGCATTTGTGGATCTCATCTCTACATTTGTGGATTTTCCTTTTTTTACAAACAGAATTTTGATGCAAACTTCGACTGAAGTCCAAACAAAAATCGTTTAATACAGGTATTTTCAGATAGCACGTGATCGCTTGCTGATAACATCATTACGCATTTCAAAGTAAGATCATGCAGTCTTTCTATGAGCTTCAATGTGCATTTATTATTTTATTGTTGATAAGGCACAGTGAGTGTTAGTGTGTTTGTTTGTCCTATATTAAGTTATGTTATCTATCCCACACTTTCGTATACATTTCTGTTTGACTGTGAAAGCCAGAGGATGCTTGTGCGCAACTTGTATCAGATTTCAACCCACCAACGGCTTATCACCAAAACGAACAAATAATAAAACAAAAGATGGTCTCTTGGATGCTCTAGATGGATATTGTCCTCAGACTTCATGCAAGGTTGGTTATGCTTAAGTTGTTAATTTTGTCACACAACTGAGCCATGTTAACAAACAAATGTGAGCTAGACAAAGTTAGCTGCTGACTAACATTACCACTAGCTTAGTTAATTAATGACAGTTGTTTGAATATTATGTCAACATTTGTTGTTTGTTTTGCCTGTTAATCTTCTGAAATAGGCTGCTGGTATTGCGATCTATATAACACTAGATTAATAAATTCCTCCTTTCTTGACACCCATTTAATTTTCAGAGCGGAGACTCCTTTCGGACCCGAGTGATGAAAGCTGTTACAGAAGAGGAGACAGAGATGCTGTCCTGGATCAGTTTGTTGCTCTACTTGGTCACCCGTTACTGACTTCTAAAAACGTGAATTTACAGATGCTATGATGTGTGACGTAATAAAAAAAATTAAACCCAGTATGTTTGTAAGATGATTAACATTGAACTAATACATGATGTGAAAATACATACAGCTGTGTTCCCTCAGGGAAATTTCTATTATGGCTACGGTAATGTGCATCAGTAGGCTTAAAAAACAAAGGACATCTAAAATTGGACAGACAAAAACCACATTCATATAAGTAAATAAATTAATAAGGTGGCTAAATAAGTAAAATAGTTTACTGTAGGTAGCCATCTAGCTGGCCTTTTCTGGTTATATCCAGCTAACGTAACATTACTTAACAGGCACAGATGTTAAAGACAAGTTCCGCAACATGAGGACCATCATCAAATATGAGTTTTCTGTCCTACAATGGTAACTCTTAAAATAATCTAATGTACTTAGGATAGAATAGATTGAACTAAACTATCTATTAACAGTGAACTTAACTGCTCAAAAAAATTAAGTGAACACAATCGTCACAGTAGAACACCAGGTCAGTTAAACTTAAGTGATATCAATCTGTCCATTTAGGAAGCACAAGTGATGGTGAATCAGTTTCACCTTCTTTGGTGCAAATGAAAGAGACAACCGGTGCAATGGAGAGGCAAAAGCAAGACAACCTTCAAACAGGGAATGGTATTACATGTGGTGGCCACAGACAGTTGCTCTCTCCTTATCCTTCCTGACTGATTCTTTTCTAGTTTTGTTTTCTGCTAGTGTCCTTGAAACTACTGGTGGCATGAGGTGATACCTGCAGCCCAATCATGTTGCATAGGTAGTCCAGCTGGACAGGGCCATAGAGGGGAATTGGAAGAGCACTGCCAGAGCCCTTCAAAATGACCTCCAGCAGGCCACTGGTGTGCATGTTTGTGACTAAACTGTCAGAAACAGACTCCATGAGGGTGGCATGAGGGCCCGACGTCCTCTACTGGGGCTTGTGCTCACAGCCCAGCACCATGCAGCTCAACTGGCATTCGCCAGAGAACACCAGAATTGGCAGGTCCGTCACTGATGCCCTGTTCTCTTCACAGAAGAGAGCAGGTTCAAACTGAGCACATGTGACAAGCATGAAGAGTCTGGAGACGCCGTGGTGAACATTATGCTTCCTGTAACATCATCCAGCATGATTGGTTTGGCGGTGGGTCGGTAATGGTCTGGGGAGGCATATTCTTGGAGGGTCACACAGACTTGCATGTCCATGAATGTTGGTGCAGTGGGCCCCAGGGCTCACTTAGTTGTGTCATTGATGGCTGACCAGTTGCCCCAGCTGCATCAAAGTATGGTCCATGCACCACCTACTTCCAAGCTGCCAGTTTTTGTATTTATTTATTTATTTTATTTAACCTTTATTTAACCAGGCAGGTCCTATAAGAACAAGTTCTTATTTACAAAGGAGGCCTGGCAAGAGTAAAAGCCTCTTGAAGGAAAAGGGTTAGGGGGCTGAAATAGAACAGGGTTAGATATAAAAACAGCATAACATATTGAAAGGCAGTATGCAACACACATGTAGCACAACACACAAACACTCATGTAAACATCACCAGCACAAACGGACAATAGCGGCAAACACAGCAGCAGACATGCGAGACAGCCAAAAACAGTACATATAAAACCATCCTCAGCACAAGTCCTCAACATCCAGCAACAGAATACACAGTCAGACATAGTCAAACCTGTGGAGACACAATAGTCCACAACATGTAACCACAATAGTCCACAGCGTGCAACCAGAACAGAAAACACAGACCAAGCAGGGTTTTGTAGATGAGCATTGACCAGTGTATGTTACAATGGGTGTGTAAAGATGGCCAGTTGACAGAGGAGTATAGTGAACAGTGGTGTGTTTTGAAGGGTGCATTAGTAGCAAAATGGATGGCAGAGTGGTAAATGATGTCCAGTGTATGCAGTGCACTCTTGCAGGCTGACTGATAGATGATGTCACCATAGTCCAGCATGGGAAGCATGGTCATTTGAACTAAGGTTAACCTGGCAGAGGGAGTGAAAGTGGGCCGCATTCTGTAAAGGAAACAGAGTTTGGATTTAAGTTTAGACTGTAACTTGGTGATGTATTGTGAGAATGATAGGGTACTGTCTAGCCAGATGCCTAGATATTTATAAGTATTTATAAGTTTAGTAGGAGGTGTAGAGTGGAGAGAGCCTGTTGAATGCGCCTGAAGCTGCCCTGAAGTGAGGTGTGTACAGCATCAATGGTGGGACCAACAGCATAGAGGACTGTGTCATCAGCGTAAAGATGGATGGAGGCATCTGTGACAGAGCAGGCAATATTGTTTATGTAGATAGAGAAGACTGTAGGACCTAGGATTGATCCTTGGGGTACACCCTTTGTGACTAGGAGAGGCTGAGAGAGATGGTGTTTGGATTTTACCCATTGTACTCTACCAGTGGGGTAGTTGGAGAAACACGCCAGTGAGTGACCGGAGACCCCAACGCTGCCCAGTCTGCCAATCAAGATGGAGTGATCAACAGTGTCAAAAGTTTTTGCAAGATCAATGAAAATAGCTGCACAGCATTGCTTAGAGTCCAAAGCAGAGACGATGTCATTGAGGACTTTAAGGGTAGTAGTTAACACAGCCATAACCAGACCGGAAACCAGATTGAACACTTGACAGGATATTATGAGCATTGAGGTAATTAGTCAGTTGCTTATTCACCAGTTTCTCCAGTATCTTTGATAAGTAGGGCAGTAGACAGATTGGCCTATAACAGTTTGGATCAGCTTTATCTCCTCCCTTCAAGAGGGGACTAAAGTTGCTGCCAGAACCCCAAGCGCAGTAACGGTGAGTAGTCCCAGACTTGAACAGCCAACACTACTACCAAGGCGTGGGCGCCAGGAAACCCCACTGGAGGCACACTCGGTCCAGATTCAAGATGCTAGTGGTGAATCTGACCAGTCAAGGCAAGAGTGGAGGCACTATACGTAGCCAAAAATTCCACAATATCAGATGGGTGAGAACACTGAAAATTATTTGATACATTTTGAATGTATGACCAAAACACGGAGATGGCCAGCGAGTAAATGGGCATGTCGACTCGTTCCACTCCAGTCTGGGAAGGCATTGGAGGCTTATACGGCAATGGATGAGGAGAGAGCTCACTGCTATGCAGACCTGAAGTAAACCCTACTAGCCAAGTATGACATCTGTCCTGAGGCATATCGACAGCAGTTCCAATCCACTACTGTTCCACGTGGCGAGAACCCCACAGAGACCTACCACTCCCTTAAGGGCCTCTATCGGCATTGGATTTGACCAGAGCAGCGCACCTAGGAGGAGTTTGGTGAGGTTATCATCTTGAAACAGCTGCTCCTAGTACTCCCCTTGGA